CATCAGCAGGGCCGCCTGGATGTCTGGTAGGGACCCAGGCAGGCCGAGTTATGCCAGAGATGCAGGAGCAAGACATGGGCCTGCGATCAGGACCGTTGATCGGACTCTAGATCGAACGGTCTTGATTGCAGACCGAGGGCATCCCAGCCAGGGCCAGTGTATATAGCTGTGCGAGTCCTCCAGTTTGGACTCTGGAGACAGTGCTGGAGCACCTGTTGGGCGTCACGCTGCTGTAGTACAGTGCCAGTTTGAGAGAGCTGCGTTCGAGTAGCGGCGTTAGAGGAGTAGGAGAGTAGTCAGAGAGGAGAGGCTCGAGGTGGCCATGGCCACGAGGGAGAGGACGAGGCAACCTGGGCGTCATAGCTGGGACTCCATTCTGGTCTGGGACCGGCCTTCTTCAGTGACCTGAAGCAGTTGGAGTCATCATCCTTCACCGGCTCAGTATTTGTGGGCCTCATTCATTAGCATCAGGAGAGAGAGAGAGAGAGAGAGAGAGAGAGAGAGAGAGAGAGAGAGAGAGAGAGAGAGAGAGAGAGAGAGAGAGAGAGAGAGAGAGAGANAGAGAGAGAGAGAGAGAGAGAGAGAGAGAGAGAGAGAGAGATAGAGAGAGAGAGAGAGTATTTCGGGCCTGATAGCACCCAGATTCAACATTTTGAGGAGATGATTGTTGGATTTTTCTGGGCGAGGCTATTGCCAGCTATCTCGAGCTATTCTTCTCATCTTCCCTCCTTTCTCCTTCGTCCCCCCTCACCTCCATCATCCGTGGTTCTTCTCCCCATGTGTTGCATGCTGAGCCCTGCACATGGGCCCCGTTTCGGGGGCCCGACGGTTGTTGGGGACCCCCAGGCCGTGCACCTATTTTCGTGCACGACCTGGAGGCCCACGGGCATCCTGGTAGGCCAGGCACTTTTCTGAACCACACAGGTTCTCTTTGAGCCAGCATTTATTTATTTATTTATGTTTTTGCTGACTCTGTTGTCTGTTCTATTTTTGTCTGTTCCAGGGCGTCGTTTCGGACTTTGCAGCGTGTCCGAACAGACTGCTGTCTGTTTGGACCAGGACTTTGGGCTTCCTGGGGGCCAGGTTCGCGACTGGACCATTTTAGGCCAGGTCCGGAGTCGTCCGGTAGCGGACATTGCCTGCTGCATCAGCAGGATAGGGACCCAGGCAGGCCGTTTTTGGCCTAGGACCAGACGAGAAGGGCTTTCGCCTGCAACCTGGACCATCGATCGGACGGCAGATCCGATGTCCCAGGTTGCAGATCGTGGGCATTGCAGTCCCGCCCAGCGCTATATCTAGCTGGGACAGTCCAGTTCCTGGACAGACTAGGGTTCCCCTTCCTTGGGTGTTATGCTGCTGGAGCAGCGTGCGACTTCGTGCTGCCTTAGAGGTAGAGGTAGCGGTGTAGGAGTTAGGAGAGGTGAGGGAGAGGTGGTGGCCATACCTGCGAGGTGCGGACAGCTTACCTGGGCGCCATAGCTGGATCCGTCTCCAGCGACTTGCAGCACAGAGAGGCACGCCAGCTCGTTAGTACGTGGCAGCAGTTACCTGCAGGTGAGGCAGTGGAGAGGTCAACATTGTCTTCTTCTTCCTGCTCCTGCCCTCCATATCCTCCTTCCTTCTTCTTCTCTTCTTCTTCTTCTTCTTCTTCTTCTTCTTCCTCTTCTTCTTCTTCTTCTTCTTCTTCTTCTTCTTCTTCTTCTTCTTCTTCTTCTTCTTCCTTCAGAGAGAGAGAGACAGATTACAGGGAGAGGTTATGGCGGGCTATGGGGGCCCAGGATCTGATTCGACATTACAGGGGCAGACATTGATTGGACATTCAAGAGGGAGACTATTTTTGGACTGCGCTATCGTGACTTTGGTCTTCTCCCTCATCTCCATCTTCGTCTTGCTCCTCCCCCATCCCCTCATCCGTGGTTTCTCCCCATGCACTTGCTCAAGGAGGGACCTTTCTTCCATGTATGCAGTCCCTCCCTTCTCTCTCACATATGTGGTGTGTGATGGGCTGAGTCGAGTGAGTGTCCGACAGGTCAGGTCGTATCTTCGAGTCTTCCACTGCGCTACATTGTGCAATTTTTGTATGTATCTGGATGTGCATTGCTTGTTGATGGTTCACTGATGCTGCATTGTCCATTTGAGTCCTTATCATCACTTTGCTGGTCCTTTGGCTCCCTTGCATCACTCGGATTATTCCGAGTATGCATCACCATGTGTGTGTGAGCAAGGAGTGACCTTTCGTCCATGTATGCACGCCCTCCTAGGCATGCATCAAAGAGGGTGGGAGAGAAGAACCGACATAGGCAGACCCACCTTTGGCTATGGTTGGCCTTCATCTTCAGTTTTTTGGTTGGCCCTGCATCAAGAAGGCCCCAGTGTGGGTCCCGGTTGGGCTTGGACATCTTTCGAGAGTGTGGCTATGGCGGGAGGAGATGGGACTAGTACAGTAGTGTTTGCATTGTCCTTTGAACATCCGTGATGAGCACGGTTGTTCTGCCATATCCCTAGATGTTACTAAGAAGAGACAAGTGAAGTTAGGACGGAAAGGTGGTCTGAAAAGTCGTCTCTTGAGTTGCTGGCAGTAAGAGGGGACACTCACACATGATTCCTGTTCAGTGATTGATCTGTTGTTGCATTTAGTTGATTATTAAGAAGAGGAGAAGTACAGGAGAGATGAGGAGGAAGAATGATGGGGAAGACATTGGTGTAACGAGCAATTCTTCTTCTTCTCTGATTCTCTTTCTTCTATTACGAGTCTTTATCTCTCTCTATCTTGAATTTCAGCAAGTCCTGGCATTCCTCACAATTTAAGTTTTGCAGAGGTAGGATCATACTTGCAACCGCACGAGCCGCACATTCGTGCCGAGTTCCGTGGGGGGGTGCCTGTGCGGAATCGTGCAGGTTTTTTATTTTTAATAAATTTTATTATTTTTTTTTTTTTGGGGGGGGGATTGGTGACAGGGGGGCGTATGACAGGAGGATGGGGATATGGTGAGGAGAGGGGGATATGGAGAGGAGGAGGATGTGGACGAGGAGGATGACGAGGATAGCGAGGATGATGACAAGGAGAAGGAGCAGAGATGGGGGAGGAGAAGAGATGGACGCATTGGACGGAGGGAAAAGAGGAAGGGCAGGAGGAGGAGGACGAGTGGGAGGAGGAGGAGGCATGGATGGCGAGGAAGGGAAGGACACGAGGAAGGGGAGGACACGAGGAAGGGGAGGACATGAGGAAGGGGAGGACATGAGGAAGGGGAGGACACGAGGAAGGTAAGGAGACAAGGAGGCATGGGAGATGAGGAAGTACGAGGAGGAGGAGGCGAGGAGGAGGAGGAAGGGCAGGAGGAGGACGAACAGGAGGAAGAGGACGAGTCGGAGGAGACGAAAAGGAGAAGGGAGGAGGAGACATGGAGGACGAGGAAGGGGAGGAGGAGCGAGGTGAGGCAGCACTCCTGCAATAATTTTGGCAGGGGGGCTCGAACCCACCGTTTCGACCCCCGGCCTTCTTTTTTTTTTCAGAGGGGGATATGGGTCGTTCCCCACACACGTTGTGCGCCACACAGGATCGGTTGGGCACGTGCGCCGCACGTCGGGAACCGCCCGCACGAGGTGCACTTGCAAGTATGGGTAGGATCATAACAGTAGGTACCAGCTGCAGTAGCTGAAAGGATTTCACGATGCAGACCCCTGAAAGCTCGGCACCAAATCCCCAAGGTTCCGGGAGTTTCGAAGTCCCGAGTCCATGGGTCCAGTAGAGTAGGCCCTATAGGCCAATAGGGGCATCCGGAGAGGTCAAGTGGATGTGCAGTCGCTCCAGTACCCGACAGAAAAGTCTGGAAGGTTGAGTCATTGTAGGGCCAGTCCGGAACCCCATGGAAGGGTCCGGAAAGTCCAAGTCCAGTCCCAAGTCCACAAAATTGCAGCAAGTCCCAGGAAAGTCCGGAAGCTACCAGACCGACAAAATGATTGCAACAGACAGGCCGCGGCTGACCGGTACCGGTCTGAGGCAGGCCAAGCCAAGTCCAATTCCTATCTTTAGCTGCTACAGTGCAGCAGAAGTTGCGGAAGCACTGCTGCTGCTTGTGTGACCAAGCAACTTGGGCAAGACAACGCTCGAAGAAGAAGGAAGCGCCAGCGACAGTCATAGCTAGGGTAGTGCTAGAGAAGCAGGGCGGTCATATCCGCCAAGGTCTGAGTCTGAACTGAGCGGATGTATTCAGGGAGCGATCCAAGGCAGGAGAGGGAGAGAACAAGAGGGAGAGAGAGAGAGAGAGAGAGAGAGAGAGAGAGAGAGAGAGAGAGAGAGAGAGAGAGAGAGAGAGAGAGAGAGAGAGAGAGAGAGAGNAGAGAGAGAGAGAGAGAGAGAGAGAGAGAGAGAGAGAGAGAGAGAGAGAGAGAGAGAGAGAGAGAGAGAGAGAGAGAGAGAGAGAGAGGCAGAGTGATACAAGGCAGGAGAGAAGAGAGGAGAAAGAGGGAGAGCTGTAGGCGGTTACATACCTGGTTGGAGTCTGAGTCTGTGTGAGCGGCAGAGACCCCAAGAGACATGAACATTGTCTTTGTATTATAAATATATTTTGCATGCCCATCTCTCGTGCGATTCTTGCGTCTCGGCTATTGGTTCCAAGTGTGACCACTCATCTGGATGCTCGTTGCATATGTGTGCCAGGTTGAGGGTGATTGACTTGTGAATCATTGCATAGCTCAGTTGGTACATCCCCTGAACTGTTGAAATTTGAAATACAGACCTGTGTTCGAACTCCACTTGAGGAAGATGAGTAAAATAGTTAAAAATACTACAATTCTGAATTACCTAGGACCGCTCAGTTGGATGATCATATCTCAAGGCCTTCACCTTTCGAAAAAAAAAAAAAAAAAAGTATCACAATGGTAAGTAAGCAAGCAAGCAAGCAAGGAAGGAAGGAAGGAAGGAAGGAAGGAAGGGAGGAGTGAGAGTGATGATTGAATGATTGGTGTCTGGCTGTCTGGCTGTCTGTCTGTGCATATACCTGCAGAGAAGTTTACTCATGTCTGACCATTCATGCCTGTATACAATCGTCCCATCTTGTAGCACGATCTTGTACTTCGATGTTTCCCGCGAGACATCTGAGTCCGCAGAGGGTACATCTTTGGTGTTGCTGCCCACATGCAGGACTTTTGAGAATGCTTTTGTCAGTCCCATAACTCCACGTGCTGCACCTCCTCCTCCTCCTCCTCCTCCCCCCCCTCCTCCTGCTGCTGCTGCTCCGGTGCTCTTTTCTGAAGTAGCATTATTTCTCTCATCGAGGGAAGTGGGCAACTCGTCGTCCAGATTCAAAGTACTGTTGTTGTCATCCTCGTTGTCAATAGGCATCTTGCCTTTCACGTCCTGAAAAGCCATTAGCATTCATCACCATCAAACAAGAACTGTATCAGCCAGCAGTAGGCCAATCATAGCAGCTGGATTTATTAGTTATACCTTTATTAGGCCTCATACCAATAGATGAGCCATGATTTGATTTCACATTTGATAATTTTTATTTTTTTAGAGAATGGGGCTTCCGTGCATGTGGCACACAGTTGTTTAAGTGGGCATCTGTCCTCTTTTCTTGTTCTGACGTTTAGCCATTGATTTAGCGGAACTGCGAGGTAAAGGATAAGCCACTGCGGACTTCTGAATTTGGGAGGGTGGATTGAGACGACTTGGTTCCATGTTTTTTTCATATTCATTCGTTTATTTGCTTTATTTATTTTTTCGTACTCAAGTACAGCTCTCGGGCCCGATTGGCAGGCGTTGTCATTTTATAGATCTTCGTAGAAATCGTACGCGAACGTAAGATGCTATTCTCACTCTCGCGTACCATGACGTCTTGGCAGGGTCTTTCCAGGAGTCTGATGGCACGAAGCTCAGGGCACTTACGACCCTGGGTGGTTGGGACTCCTCGTAGTTCAGGCTGGAATACCCGCAGGTATGGAAGTCCCGCGAAGCGAAGCGGGCTTAATTTTTTGAGAAACGTAGGATAGTTGGGTATTTCAAATACAGGGCGCAAAAATCAACGAAGAGGAACTGAGCCCAATGAAGCCAGACCCCCTACACCATATTGGACTGCATTGTTACGGATATGGCGAAAAGTCATGCCAAGGAAAGTGGGTAGACCCAAATCCAAAGAAGAGGTACTGAGGCAACCCTTGTGTTAAGATTTTGGTTGTCTGTTGAATTCAATCAACACTCGCACTCAGACAATCTCACACATGCCCATGCATGCATAAGAAGAAGGGGAGAGGAGACAAAGTACACACTGCAAACAAACAGAGAAGACAGCGGAAAAATCATGCACAATTGTGGAGACAACACGAAGTGTTTCTCACTCTCTGACAATACCCCCAACAACCACTCACAGAACGACATAGGCGAGGATAACAAAAGAACGTAACCAAGTTTGAGCCAATCTGAACCAATAATCATCCCAGAGTTTGTCCCAACATCTCGCCACCACTGAACTCCACACTCCACTTTCACACTCACACCTAGTTAGTTGCGCCTAAATGCATTCCCTGGGGCCAGCGCCAACCACCAAGATGAAGAACAAGACCAGCGATGAAGTCCTAAGTGTCGATGTAGAAACTTTGACGATGAACGCTGCAGCTATGGCTGCAGCGTCACTGTCTCTGCCACGCAGGTAACCCTGACGTAGAAGCAGCAGCAGTAGTCCACCTACAAACCACTATGTAGAGCCTCCTGATAGCCCATACAATCGTAGTCACCCTCCCGGGTGAGTGCTCAGAGAACGCCCAGCTATGGCGAGCTCCTGCAGTTTGGCTATGGCTGTCGTTACTGACGAGGGACTTAGGATGTCGTGCCTGAGGCCAATTGTCACCTTCCTTGCTTGGCTCAACTGCATAGTACCGACGAAGAAATGAATTGCCAAAAGTCCTAACACTAACGACCTAGTTCTATGAATAGACTAGCCTAGACCTAGACACGGACTGGACTGACCGGTACCGTTTCAGTTTGGACCTCTAGGGCCTCTACCTACCCGGCTACAAGCTCTCATGCTACGGGCCTAGGCCTTAGGGCCTCCCGTCCTAGTGATAGACCGGGCCTGTTGTTCGCAGTGCGGGCTAAGGGAACTGCGGGCCAGTAATTTTCCCGAAATTACAGATATGTCCCTCACGAATTTCCCTCAGCACTGAACTCTCGGTTAGTCCCTGACACAAACAAAATTATGAATCTAACCCTACCGCTGTTACTATACAGCCTCGCAGTCAGATCTCGGTAGGCAAAATCAGCAAGTCATTGGAGGCTTACCCCCCCGGGGAGCCTGGACCTCCGAGCTAGGGGTGCAAACGAGGAGACCGACGAGGAAGTGAACCCTTCCGAGCCGCTTCGTAACTCAAAACTACAGACTTTGCTGTCTTGAGAAGCTTTTTCCTGGTGAACCACCTATCCTTAGTATGAGGCTGGAAATAAAACTTCACAAGATACTGTCGGTCGGGGCCAGTGCCCCACTCATCCTCAATTGACTCCACCTCGTACCCACGACCAGGTATAGGTGGTCCAAATTGAGGGGGCCGGTCAGGGAATACATCAGCTGATGAAAAAGGTAACAGCTTGGATGCATGAAAGACCGGATAGGTTTGCAGATGCAGCGGGACATCAATCACGTACGAAGGTCCAAAAGGATCGGAGCCCATTGTATCTAGCACCTGCCACGAACCCAGATAGCGTGGCAACAGCTTGGGAGAGATGTCCTCTTCCCTCGATAACTCTGAACTGGCTACCCAGACGTGATCGCCTGCGCGAATGGGGCAAGGACGCCGATGACGATTAGCTTGTTCAATCATAACCTTCTGGGCTTTGAACAAGTTTGCACGGGCCCTTTCCACATCAATCCTGTAACGTCTGACAAACTCAACAGTTCCAGGAGTAATACCAGGTTTAGCCTTGTTGATGAGATCATCAAGAGGGTGTGAATCCAATCGAGGAATGAACAGAGGTATTGTACACAAGTTGTGCACGAGCCAGATGGAGATAGCAGTCCTATTGGTCTGGAGAGATGACAAGACGCAGCAATTGAAACAAGACTTGGTTCATCACTTCAGCCTGACCATTGGCTTCAGGAGACGTCCAAAAGTTATGTCTAAACGTGAATGTAGGTAGTCTTTACAGTAGGACTGCCATTCACTGCTGCAAAATCTGGAATCTTTGTCACTGATTATGGAAGTGGGTGGTCCATGGTTAGTTACCCACCTCTCAGCAAACGCTGCTCTCACAGCGGGGACCCTAGCTTCTTCTGGCAAGGGGATGAACTGCATATTTAGAAAACCGGTCAACACATACCATCACCTGACGCATGCCACGAGGGGTGGTTCTGCCCAGATCTGTAAAGTCAATAAATACAGACCCCGCAGGACCATCAGGTATAGGTAATGGTTTGAGCAGTCCAAGAGGAGGTCTGCGTTGGACCTTGTTCCTCTGGCAAAGACAGGTTTCAATATAGCGCAGCAGATCACTTCGCATCTCCTTCTAGAAAAAACGTTGCGACAGGGCTGCATAAGACTTTAAGAACCCAAAATGACCACGTGCATCGTGACACTCTGACATGAGCTGAGTCCTGAGGGCCTGGTCATGGGGAATGCACAAGCGTTCCTCTCCATTGCTATAAGTATACAACAAGTCTGAACTCAGAACATAACCTAGTTCAGAATTGGGATCTGCTTGCAGATTCCTAGACCATTGCGACCGGGCAATGGTCTAGCGGGTCTCCTCTCCAAAGGAGTGGGTAGTTTCAATACAGCGCAACAGATCACTTCGCATCTCCTTCCAGAAAAAGCGTTGCAACAGGGTTGCATAAGACTTTAAGAACGCAAAATGACCACGTGCATCGTGACACTCTGACATGAGCAGAGTCCTGAGGGCCTGGTCATGGGGAATGCACAAACGTTCCTCTCCATTGCGATAAGTATACAGCAAGTCTGAACTCAGAACATAACCTAGTTCAGAATTGGGATCTGCTTGCAGATTCCTATGGGTCCATAAGTCAGGTCCTGAGGCAGTAACCGGGCAATGGTCTAGCGGGTCTCCTCTCCAAAGGAGTGGGTAAAAGAGAGAGCCGCAAAAGTGTCATGCCTACGAGAGAGGGCGTCTGCTACCTTGTTGTAGCAACCCTTCTTATGTTTCAGTTCAAAGTCAAATAGGTCTATGAACTGAATATAGCGTGCTAACTTGTCGTTCAACTCTCCTTGGGACTTCATCCACTATAGAGTGGAATGATCTGAAAATATCTTGAAGTGTCTGCCCAAGAGAAAGTGCTTCTAATGCTTTAGCGCGCAGACAAGAGCATATAGCTCCTTCTCGTAGGTAGAGTCCTGCGACTTTTGAGTCTTGATCTTCTTACTCATATATTCCACAGGTCGCAGACCATTCCCATCATCCTGCTGAAGTACTGCCCCAATGCCATACTGACTAGCATCAGTGGTCAGTACAAAAGGCAAAGTGGGGTCAGGAAGCTTCAACACTGGGGCACGAGTCAAGGCCTTCTTGATTCGTGTGAAAGCCAACTGACAGGGAAGGGACCAAAGGAAAGGAGTGTCTTTCTTTGTTAGGTTAGTCATGGGAGAAGCTACTGCAGAAAAGTTTCTAACAAACTTTCTGTAGTAAGATGCTAAACCCATGAAAGACCGTACATCCCTCATTGTCTGGGGTTGTGGCCAATCCTGAATTGCAGCAATCTTCGCTGCTTCAGGGGCCAGACCCTCTCCTGAAATTACATGACTCAGGTAGATGACAGAGGAGACCCCAAAGGAGGACTTCTCTCTGTTGATCTTATACTGGCTGTCATGTAAGGCCTGAAGAACCAGAGCTAAATGCTCCACATGTTCCTGGGCAGTTTTGCTGAATACCAGAATGTCATCTAGGTAGACAACCATGAACTTATCCAGGTAAGGTTTGAATATGCGGTGCATTTCAATCTGGAATGTGTCTGGGGCATTGCAAAGTCCAAATGGCATCACCAGGTATTCATAGGTGCCATACCTGGTTTTGAAGGTTGTCTTGTAAACATCCTCCTCTGCCATCTCAATCTGGTGGTAGCCAAACTTGAGGTCGACTTTGTTGAACAGTGTGCAACCCTGCACCATATCCAGTAGATCATCAATGCGAGGAAGAGGCTCTGTACTCTTTCTCGTGATCTTGTTGAGACCCCTGTAATCAATGCACATTCTGAACTCACCATTCACTTTGGGTACAAAGAGAACAGGCGCACCGAATTCCGATGTGTTGGGTCTGATCCAACCCTTGCTGGTCAGGGTCTCAGGTTGCTTTCTGAGCTCATCAAGCTCAGCAGGGGACGTCCTGTAGATCCGGCCCTTAAGAGGGACCGCTCCAGGTAAGAGCTCGATGTGATGCTTGGTTGGCCGGTGGGGTAACCCCACAGACTCCTGCATCAGATTTGCATACTGGTCCCACCACCTGCTGTACTTCTGAGGGACAGGAAGCGAAGATACCATGTGTTTGCTTGACGAGTGCCAAAAACAGACATTGATGATGAAACTGGCGTGAGAGAGCGTGAAACTCTCTCGCTCGTAAACAGTAGCAACTGGTTCTAGGATGGTGTTCAATAGCAATCATACATGGCCGATACACCCTTTGCAGATTGGGTAACTCAACCTTAGGAATCTGTCAGTCGATCCTAGGGTTGGCTGCCTGCAGCCACTGCATAGAGAAGACCAAATCAAAGAGTAGATCAGGGAAAATGTAGAAGTTCAAACTATGTCTGACTTCTCGACGAGTATCAAAGGTAACAGGGATGCCCCTGACCTTCTCCCTGATAGTGATTACTGTGGAGTTCTGCAGCGGTTGCTGTACGGTCACAGTTTTCAAGTTCAAATGTAGTTTCTGAACTGCCTTAGGGGACATGAAGTTCCGGGTGGCTCCACAGTCAAGTAAGCCTTTGATTCTTGTATTGTTGATCAGGGGTTGGAGTAGTATGAGTTCAAGTTTGGTTTTTCTTTGTTCCTTCAGGTGAAAGAAAAAGAAGCCGACATCTGAGCCTCTTGCTGATCCAGTTCCTGATCCGGGTCAGGATCCTCATAAGTGAAGGATGCTGCCCTGACTGCTCTTGCTAAAACATGCCTATCTGCTGAAGCAACTGCAGATTCACCCTCATCAGAAGGTGAATTTGCAAAACTGGGGGGAGCTGCTGCCTCTGGAGACTGCTTCAATTTTTTGGCTGTGAACCTGGGCCTGGCATGTAAGGGCAATCCTTGACAAAGTGGTGTCCCTCACATCTCAGGCGGACCCCCCTCTCCTTCCTTCTCCTCCAAACCCCTTCCTGTATTATAAGATCATGCCAGGGCAGGGTGGCAGGATTCAGCGGCTCAGCTGGCATTCGGACGTCTCTAGGCAAATTAGGTCTCTAGGCAGGGGTTGAAGGACGACGTTCCTTGTCCTTCCCCTTCTTGCTGCTGGTTGATGCGCTGCTGGAGGGGAACTTCCCCTTTAATACTCCCAGCAGGGCATCAATCTGGGCCACTGCAACTTCTGCAGCAGGAGGTGGTTCAGTCCCAGCAGGTGGAGTTACAGGTCAGGATCCTGGATCACTTCCTGATGCAGAACCTGCATGCGCAAAAGCAGCCTTTCCCTTTTTCCCTCCATAAGGAAAGACCCTTCTCCTCTTATCTGAAGAAGGGGGCCTGAACATGGAGTTTTGCTTCCATGTTCAGGGCTGCGCGGCCAAAGGACCTCCAGTCCTTGTACCCAGAGCTATACAAAGCTGCAGCGAACTTCTCAGGCGTTGCCTTGCAAGAGTTAGTCAACAAATCATCAGATGACATAACCAACTCAGGGTTGGAGGTAAGTTTCTCGAACTCAACAAACAAGGAGTGAAGGGACCCTGAATATCGTTGTTTTCCCAGGCGAGCAATCCTGTCAGCAGCCTTGCGGGCTCGCTCCTTGTTTGCAAATCTGTCCTCCGGGGCCTGCAGAAGCTCGTCCACGCCCAGCCCGAAAGCCCAGTCCTCCAATCGCATATTCTGGCTGTTGGAGGAGGACGTGGCCCACTTCAAAGTCGGTCCATCCAACAGACCCAGCCCATTCCTTCAAGGACTTGGGTGAAGAAGGGGGAGATGACTTAGGAGACAGAGAAGGAAGTGACTGGCCAGCAGTTGGCAGTTGAGCAAGGATAGCATCCAATTTTATTAGGATCTTACTTTGCTGGGCTGCCACGTCATCAACACGGCGCTCTAAACGCCCAGTTAGTGAAATAGGTAGTAGTGGCTTTGTGGTCCAAACCGACCCACTCTGCCATGTACCTATTCACTTCTGAAGTCCGACCATCTTTCTCAATCCGGGCCAACTGCTCCAACAGGTACGTCCTGCGAGATGCATCTGTTGCAGCTTCCATCTTTGTTGCGTCTTGCTGTTCAAGGGCTGCAATCAGTTCCTGCTGCTGACACAGCCTTTCCTTTTCTTCTTTCACCTTCAGCTGAGTCGCAGTCAAAGGGGGAGGAGGTGGATAAGAGGATTCAGATTCCTCTCTCTTCACTTCCTCAACCTTGGGCTGCGTCTCTGCACCCTGGTCAGACATTTTTCCTCACTCAAAATAAAATAAAATAAATGAACAACCACAGAGTCTGCAGCGATTTTCAGATTTCCTGCAGAATGACCAAAATCGCTGCCTCCTCTGACACAGAGTTATGTGGGTGATATGGGCAACATGCGATTTGGGGTTAGAAACCTTTTCTAGAGGCCAGGGTTGAGTACCGACAAAGAAATGAATTGCCAAAAGTCCTAACACTAACGACCTAGTTCTATTAATAGACTAGCCTAGACCTAGACACGGACTGGACCGACCTGTACCGTTTCAGTTTGGGCCTCTAGGGCCTCTACCTACCCGGCTACAGGCTCTCATGCTACGGGCCTAGGCCTTAGGGCCTCCCGTCCTAGTGATAGACCGGGCCTGCTGTTCGCAGTGCGGGCTAAGGGAACTGCGGGCCGGTAATTTTCCCGAAATTACAGATATGTCCCTCACAAATTTCCCTCAGCACTGAACTCTCGGTTAGTCCCTGACACAAACAAAATTACGAATCTAAGCCTACCGCTGTTACTATACAGCCTCACAGTCAGATCTCGGCAGGCAAAATCAGCAAGTCATTGCACTTGTTTGGTAATCCGTGGGGGAGAGGTGAAAGTGATCCCCAACTATCCCTTAAGCCTAGAGGAAGGAGATGGTTATCATGGATCAAACATGGAGTTTGGAAAGTGAGCATCTGTGGAACGAGGAGAAAACGGACTGGATGACAGACCAGGAACTTGCCTCCCAGCTCAAAGGATGTCACCGACGAGATGAGAACTTACAATCTATTGTCAACTGCAACCCAGAAGGCTGGAAGGAGTTGTTAAGCGAAGTCTCAACTTGGAAATCGGGTGAATCGGGAGTGAGGATGCAGGATTCAACCCCCACAAGAGCCTATCAAGTCTCCCATAAACAGCAAGGGTCGGATACCCTGGCAGGGTGTACCTCCTTCCCAATTACCCCCTCAACGCAAGGCCTTCCATCTATCATGAATAAGGAGGTGGAAAGAACAGTCCTCAATCCTTTGATACTCAGAAAGGTCAGAGTGCTGGGTTCATGGCCGAAAACGATCTTCAGAATAGATACGGCGATTCAACACTTGGAATTTGATCCAGCAGAGTGGGCTTGGACACCAGACCGAAGCAGAGGCCTCAAAACTAATGTCTCCATTCAGGAATACACAATCAAGCTGGGTTACAACTTACTCCTCAAAACAAAGGATCCTGAACCAACGATCAAGAGCAGATGCCAGAAGCTACTAGGTCAAGACGCTAGTCAGATCCCACAAATACCATGGGAAAAATTCCAGTCAATTCGTCCGGTCAAAATCAGAAGCCTACAATGACTCGTCTCATACGTAGCTCTGCCAGTCAACCAGTGGTTGCATATCAGAAGAAGCAAGAATGACCCTAACAGTTCAGATTTATGCGCGGTATGTTAGGCAAATGAACCAGAAGATATGCTACATTGCCTGATACGCTGTACAGAGGCGACCGAATACTGGGCGAGGGCCTCGGATCTCTGGGATTCCCTCTTCTCGTCTCCCCTCCCTGAACATCCCATCCAACTCCTTCTATGGAATCCATCACAGAGCACATCATATTGGAGGGTGAATCCCGAGACTGCAACTTCCGTAGCTTCTCTTACCTTTCTTGCTCTTCATTATTTATCTGGCAGGCTCATGTAGTGGACCTGAGAGGAAAGGTGTAAGTAAGGCAAGCTGACAGTCAATCCTCCACGATGCGGGAGTAATCAATGCTGGTCAGGGTTCCTTCGGCCGGACGGAAGGAAGCGTGAGTGTGTGTTATGATGTAATATTTCTTTCTGACTTGCCGGTGGAATAGGAACCGGACTGATGCTCCCCAGAATGGAAATGGAGCCAGGGCCGTAAGGACCTGTTTTTTTTTTTGTTTTTTTTTTAAAGAAGAGGAGAGGGGACGCTCTCGACGGAGACTGAGTGGCATGAGCAGGTGGCTCTGTAGCACTAGGTGTATTTTGTGCTATCAACAGTATCAAGCAATGTGGTAAATGCTGCGATATACACCACCGGTGTCAGCATGAAACCCGCACAACTTCGGAGGCCGCCAATTTTTTTTGTCAATGGCGCCCCTGGCCGCGGCGCCTCCGAGTTTTGCTTGTGGCAACCGAAAACTTTCTGCAAGGCTGGAGCCATGTACTAGCGATTTAAACCTCAAACTACATTGTCTACTATTTGTATCTCCCGCATGTCTTCCATGCACATATAGACAAGACCAATCACACACACTCAAGTATACTCAACGAGATACGATGACAATGCCCAAAAATGATCAATGTTGCTCTCAAGAAACCAAAAGAACGACAAGCGACAAGCGCATCGAAGCGCGTTTCTTTGAAGAAGACAAAAGACATGAAGCTCATCGAAGCACACTGCAAGGGGGCATGAAAAACACGAGGGCCGAGGTGAGGAAGTAAGGCAAAATCGAGCAAACTCATGGAGGCCAGGCGAATGTGAATTGTTCATGATATAGTTATAAAAAAAAGGTATCCAAAAAAAAAAAAACTGAAGAAGACACAGACCTGCCCCTCACTGTAAAAGGCTGGTCCCAACCATCTCTCCGATTGGCAACGTCCATGAATGGCCTCCTCTATCCTTGCTGTATGTAGCTGAAGGGTTCCCTCATCCATTTGCTGGAAGCCGTTCGATACTGCCACCAGCTCCAGCGCTGGAAACAGAGGTGCCTGCAAAGAATGAAAATTGTTTTTTTTTTTAATAAAAAAAGAATGCCAACCGAAACAGGCCAAGATGTACTCTCTGTGAGCAGAGATTGGCAGAAGGCTGATGGTTGCACTATGTGCGACACAGACATGCAAATATGTCTTTTACTATTTTCTATAAGAGTAAAGCCAAGCACATCTTTGAATATTTGATGTGAAACTGGAATAACCTGCAATGGCAACATCCATAATGGGTCAACGTAATTCTTTTTTTTTTTTTTGGGGGGGGGGGGGGGG